TCTTTTTTTTCCACCCCGACGGCCTACAATTGAAATTCTCGGCACGCGTTTTCCCAACCAGACAATTCGATCCCTCAACATTTCCTTCGCCCTCAAAACAATTTTCCTTCTTTCATTCACACTTCTCACGGCATATACTGGACCAAAAAAAATACGCCAGTCTCACCGTTCGGATCCAACTCTCCGATAACAATTACACTGAATACATTTTCAGGCCGGTCGAATTTTTTTCTTCAGGCTTTCTTCGCCCACCTAGTAAAATTTCCATCAGAATTTTCCATAGAGACCCTTGGAGGTCAGACGCGCCTTCCAATTCAATTCTCCTGTAAGTACAAGAGAAAAAATGAAGACAAACTAGTTTTTATCACTCTAAATTATCAATTACATTGAAAAATTATTGTACAATCACTGAAATTTGTGGGGCATGAATTTCTCGCGAATTCCCCGGCAATAGTGTATTTTCAAATAAATCCATTTTATTTTTTTCTTCTATTGTTTTCTCGCTGCAAAGGGCACGGAAAATTGTTTGTCGTAGGGTGGAAATCCCAGCAGCTCGCATCGTATTTTCATCAGCTGTGTTCCATGAAATCTCGCTGTCAGTTAGTGAACAGGAACCACAGAACACGAGGATATATTGCGCATCAGGTGGTTTTGATAATCATTAAGACTAGTTTAATACTCTTACCCGTAATGAACGCCTACGTGAACGCAGTTAAATGTCCATCAAGTAGTTGAAGTAAATATATCGGGCATTTAATGCCCCCTACACGTAGCATTAATTTTCATATTAAGAAATCCAATTTATTCATAAAATTAAAATGAAAATTTCCCATAGAATTGAATTTTCAATTTTACCCAGAATTTTGTCAATTCGTCACAATTTTTAAAAATTTAACTAATTGAATGGACAAATTACTCGTTTCATCGATTTCCTTAGATTCCACTGGAAAATAAAGGAATACGATTTTAAATTAATTTTTTGTGGAGAAATTAGATTAATTAGCCGCAGGTAAAAAAATTATGGAATGAAAAATGAAATTATCAATAAACATCACAATGGCTAGAGCAATAAAATGACAAATTAGTATCGAGAGCTGTTGAATCAAAGAATTTGAATTTTACACTGTTTGTTGTCGATGAATTACAACTGTTTCTAGTTGTTGACATGTGAAACATTTATTGCATATTCATATGGCATTTCCATCAATGATGTTTCATGTGCGACGCACAATAGTTTGTTCATAATCAAATAATTAGAGTCATTAGATCCGTATGTTCATCCAATATTTTGATACGGAAATCAGTTTTTGCTTTGTGCTTTTGGCGAATGATCATATCACCGAAGCATTCAGCGTAGAAACAAAATTAGAGCCCGTATCAATCGTTTCTCGTTATCTTTAGCATATTCCATCATACCTCTCTATTATTCGTTTGCATTTATCCCCATTCTTCCAAATACATTTTCCCTCATTTTCCGGCCTGCCAGTTACTAGTTAACATGTTTAATTTTCATTAGCTAATTTCGATTTGATAGATGTAAGAATCCATTTGAAAGAGATGAAACTAATTAAACAGACTTCTAGTTCAACAGAACAGGAATACTTATCAGAAATTTATGATAATGATTTCTCATTAATACATTAAAATTACAAATAACACTCATTTCACTCAAATTAATGTAAAGGAAATATTAGTTTACTTGAATTAAATGAGGTATTGTTCAACTACAAATCGGTTGGAACTGAAGAATAATTCATTTCAGTAGATAGAAATTTATTTGACACGATTAATTTAGGAAAATGAGGAGCACAGATATGAAAATGAGGATTATCCATCTGGTAATTGATTCAAATTACCAATCTTTCTAGGTGCGTCCGATTGCAACAAAATATGATAAAGTCTCATTCCCACCAACTGTGTAATTAATGCAGTGACCATTGATCTAATTACAACCCGGACGGGTCTCTGGGGTCGTGCAGGAAATCGTAGATGTCACGTGGTGGCTCTTCATCGGTGTTTGTACCACGAATATGTTGAAATTTAAACGAAAACCCAACCAAGACAATCGGTGACAAACTAGTCAACGGCTAGTCAAACCTACTCGATTGTTCTCGATCTCTTCACTCAATGTTTCGAGTCTGTGGATTCAGGTGCGCGAGGACATGAAAATTTCAATTCTAAAGGAAATAGTGGACACTTGTCGACAGGAAAAGTCGGATAATTGTTTCTACTAGCGGCCAGTGAATATCAAGAGTTCGACGAACCCGAGGGTTGTGTGTCGCTGTTTCTCTGGTGAAGGGACGAAATCGAGTTACAAACGTGTCGAAGTAGTGTACAAGTACGACTAGTTTAGACAACCCTTCTGACAAAGTACGGCTAGAAAGTTTGAGAGAAAAAATAGAGGAAGAATGAAAAGTGCTGGGTGATCAGTGACGTTTTCAGTGACATTTTCTCCACGAGACAAAACAATTTATTTCTAGCTTCCATCAAGAAACTCTGGCTTTGTGGATTGGTTGGGACTTCATTCAGTCTCTTCTCAGGTTTTTCTCACATTTTTTTCTTTCGCCCCTCACGCTAATTTTTTTTTTTATCCGATTCGTGGAAAATTCCGATTGACAGCGTCACACTCCACAATTTCACATTTTTCCTTCAGTATTTTTCATCAATTTTTACCGAATAATTGAACTGATTTTACAATTGCATTTTTTGGTTCCCGAGATTGCTTGGAATTTTAGTGGACATTAATTTTTTTAGAAATTTTTAACAGTGCACTTTCAGTGAGCAATTGAACTGTGGAATTTTTAGAGAAGTTGTAGTTGGAGTTAATTGAATGATTGGAGGATTCTGCGATTGTAGGAATTGTTCTTCTGTGCAGAAATCCTCGACGGCTTTATCGGCGCACCGGATCCTGACGTCTTGTGGAGATATTATTCTGAAGATTCAGAATGCTATCGTCGGTGGAGGCAGAGTTTCACGATGCCAAAGTAAAGGAGGAGCAGAACCACGTGGAGGCATGTTTTGCAAAGTCAAGAAAGAATCGAATGGGCGATGATAGCGGTGAATATTATTCTCCACATCAGCTCCACGCTGAAAAAAAAACCCAACGAATTAAATAATTTTCATTTACCCTTGAGATATTTCTTCTGAAGTCAGACATAAACACAATCTCGACTTTAATAATTGAAAATTGTAACTTTTCCATTACGACTTCATAATTTTCTTAATTGAATCTTTTTTAATCATCAAAAATACGTCTCCATTATCCACAATTATTATCCAATGGATTTCTTATTAATTATTAAAATTTCAATGCATCGAGATATTCCACAATTATTATTAATTATTAATCTAAAGATTTTTCCAGAATTTTCATTTTCAAGAACAATTAAAAACGGGTATTACAGGAGAGCTAATAAATTTTTCCTGGTAGTAAAAATAATTTAAAAAAAAAAACTTTTTGTGCGTGCGTCATTGATACTGAGAGTCGGGGAGTAATTAAATGAAAAACTTAAATGAAGATGAAAGACTCGAATGTTAATAACAAATCCGAGTTGAGAGTGGTTTCAAACGGTCATGAACTCCTAATTTAGTGTAGGTCTCACGGGAGAAAAAAAAAATTTATCACGTAGACTGTGTACAGGATTAACGTCGATAATACACCCTCCATTCCAATGGCAACAGCAGCACGTGGGTGTTGTTTACTACCAGTGAATGGGGTCAATGCACTAGGTTTCATAATCCCCGACACAATTGTATTCAGCAATTACGCAATAGACAATGATCATTGATTGAGTGATTGATCTCCCGCATTCAAGAATTCCCAAACGTTCCTTCACCTACCCCAAGTGAAAAACTGATTAAAACCACAGGAACTTAGTTGAAATAAATTTAAAGAAAACACTCCGCAACTTCAAAAAAGACACTAAAAATTCCGCCATTTTTTTATTGTTAATTAAATGAATTAAATAAGGGTTTGAGAGTATGACGCTGGAATTGGGATTGAACCCTGAGACCCTGATTATACAAACGAGGAATAAATAGCGGGAGAAAGGGAGGAAGGGATGAAGGGAGAAATCAGGTGAAAGTATTCCACCGAGAGATAATATTTTTCGAAGAGCGAGGAACGCCGACGAAAAATCCACGCGATAGCATATTCATGAGGAACAGAAAAATAATCTAATTATGAGGTAGAATAAAAACACTTCGTAATTGTGAACTTTGTACAAAGAGAAAAATTAATAGTGAATTCTACACTGATTCCGTTGTAAAAAAAAACACGAGTACAATTTCTTTAGTAAAAAATCAGAAATGATTATTCTTACTACAATGTCAGACTTTATTTTCACATCTACAATGAATAATTTGAAGTAATGTAATGAATTAATTGTAAAAAAATGTATTTTTTAATTATTCTTTATGACGGCTTGTTCCAGATTTCATACCAAAGAAAAATCCATATCACAGCCAAGTGTACGAGGACACATTCAAAAAATCCGTGGAATCTCCGGAGGAATTCTGGAGTGAAATAGCAGAATGCGTAGAATGGAACAAGCCTTGGGACAAAGTTCTCGACAATTCGAATCCACCCTTCACAAAGTGGTAATGAGTCCTCCACATTCATTTAATTATCCCCGGTGTCAAAAGAATAATTACCTTTTGTTCGCCATCACATTTCCACGAAGTGAATCATTAGTCACCCCGTGATGTTTCCCTTCATCTAAAAACTACCATCTGGGCTTTATTTTTATCAGGTACGTGGGCGGTGAAATAAATGCCTGTCACAATGCAGTCGATCGCCACGTGAAAGCTGGAAATGGAAAGAAAATAGCCCTCATACATGACAGCCCGATGACATTGTCAGTGCGAAAAGTAACGTACGACGAACTCCTGGAGAAGACGTCGCGACTCGCCGGTGCTTTAGCTGATATGGGGGTGCGGAAAGGTGATCGAGTGCTCATTTACATGCCACTAATTCCTGAAGCTGTAATTGCTGTACTTGGAACAGCTAGGCTCGGGGCGGTTCACTCCGTTGTCTTTGGTGGTGAGTTATCAGTTCTTTCTTCAACTCACCAGCGAAATGACAAAACCATTTCAATCGATTTTCTCTATTATAATCTAATAAAATATAGTGTAACGCAGAGACTGAAATTATTCGTGACACCGTCTTATCAAAAATGTGTTATCTCTAAATTCGGAGATATCTCGGAGATATTGAGGGGTTGTCGATTAAAATCGTTGTATGACTGAGAAATTTTAAGGAAAAAGGGGGTAAATTTTTGAATTCATGAATTAACAAGTGGTTTAGTTTGAGAAAAATTTCCTCCAATATTTAGAATTGTTTTGCCGAATTTTCGAAAATTGCAACTTTTTTCTCTATTCTTTCCTTCGTAATTGTCAGCTGCATCTGCAATTTTATCTATTTTGTCTATCGACTCTCCCCGCATTCTCCAATCATCGGTGGAAATTTAACATTCAGAGTCACGTAAATTGTTAGCGTCTTGAAAAATTGAATAATAGCTGGAGGCGCCTTGTTAGATCGTCCTGAACCAACACAGGACATCAGAGATAAAAGAATTTTTCTTATCAGAATGCTAACCATTTTTACCGACCCTTGTACTTGTGAATTGAATAATGAGTAGACTCTACTTATCGATTACCCATTTTTTATATTTTCACCCGATAAACCGTCAAATTGACTTTTTTGAAATTGAAGGTTTCGCACCGAGGGAATTGGCAACGAGAATTGATCATGCCGAACCCAAAGTTATTATTGCAGCCAGTTGTGGATTAGAGCCTATGAAAGTTATCAAGTAAAAAAACCTTACAATTTATATATTTAATAACCCAATCCAAAACCCATAAATGCCCAAATTTTTTCTCATGTAATTTTTCATTTATTCCACAAGATTCTACGAGCAACTAAGCTATACTTAATATTCATTCAATTAATAATAATTAATATCAATGAATGATTTATCTGAGATAAATGATAAGAGTGTCAGGTAAACCATTTTTCCAGGTGAAATGATATTTTTTATACACAAATATTTTTTTCGATTTGTAGACATAATGAAAGAAATTGAATTTATTAGGTTTGTAAATTTATTATGGATGTATTATAATTTTTAGGTACACAAAAATGGTTGAGGAGGCATTAGAATTAATTTCCGTGAAAAAACCAAAGTGCATCGTGTACCAACGGACAGATGTTTGGGAGGCGCCTTTATCTAATGGCCAGGAGGATTTCGAGGAGTTGTTGAATAGATCTGAACCCCATCCATGTGTTCCCATCGAGGCAAACCAGCCCCTCTATCTTCTCTACACGTCCGGAACAACGGGTAATGTATTTTCACACTCATTCAAACCCGACACCATCCGATTCTCATAATCGTAAAGCCACAGCAAATTGGAAATCATTGCAGATAAGCCGAAGGGAGTTCAGAGACCTGTTGGTGGACACATCGCGACACTGTGCTGGACCATGAAGATTCTCTATGGGATGGATAAAAATTCCATCTGGTGGGTGGCGTCGGATCTCGGTTGGGTCGTTGGATTGTCATATATCTGCTATGCTCCTCTGCTTTATGGCATCACGAGTGTCATGTTTGAGGGCAAACCTGACAGAACACCTGATGCTGGACAGTATTTTAGGTGTGTTTAGGAGATCAATTTTTACGGGCTTCAGCAGCTCGGAAAACGATCCATTATTCAGATATTGAATATCCAGACACAATCAGTGATGTAGAACAATTTTTGTTCAGACACGAGTCTCCGGAAAATTTCTAGTACTCTAAAGGAGATGGCGATTTTTTTGTTGAAGACTTTTTTGAAGTTCTTATTTAGCACTAGAACAAATGCAGCAACAAGAAATTCTCATCAATTTTAGATTCGGAGATATTCTTTAAAAACTCTCCCGCGGAACAAGTCGAGTTTTTACTTTTTAATTGAACTCATGATTTAATGATGATATTTTTAAAAATTGTTACAGGGTAATTGAGGATTATGGAGTTAATGCATTATTCACTGTACCCAGTGTATTTAGGGTTCTTCGGAGGACAGATCCAGACACATTATTGGGGAGAAAATATTCCACGAAAACGTAATGACGATTTGAATGAGGTTTTATGAATTAATTGAATGATTATACGATGATTTTTTTCCTAGTTTGAAGGTGGTTTTCGTGGCTGGTGAACACTGCGATTACGAGTCGAAAATTTGGGCGGAGAAGGTGTTCAAAGTGCCAATTTTTAATCACTGGTGGCAAACGGAGACAGGTCACGCTATCACCGCTACTTGTCTAGGTCTCGGTCAGGCAGTAAAACCACCACAATACACCACAGGAATGCCTTTTCCCGGTTACGATGGTTAGTGACTGATAAGGGGAATGAAACTTTAATGAATTCTTAGCGCAACCATGCATATTGTAATTTCTGTTTGACTTGTGAACTCGAGATTTTCAACTGATAAACACTTGTCTGAGCTCTAGAAAGGTCGTGAAATCAATGAACTCTATTTTTGAGAAGTGTTCACCAAAATCGAGCTTATTATTTTCTACTTGCAATTCGACGTCAAAAAAATGATTGAAAGTTTCCTATACGTATGAATTTTTCTCGATGTTTGTACGTCGATTTAATTATGTAATAAATAATATTCTGAGCGATCCCACATTTTTTGAGAATAAAAAATAATGATGACAGACGAATAGTCAGATTATCCACGTACAGTAAATGTATGAGAGATGCGGCCACTTATTTTTAAATTACTTCGAATTTTTACCTTTCAGCTTATGCCAACTTATTTTTTATCCGCTCTCTCCCTCTCTCTCTTGCAGTTCACATTCTGAGGGAGGACGGGAGTACGGCATCACCACGTGAACTCGGAAGAATTGCCGTCAAACTACCACTACCTCCTGGGACTATGTCGACGCTGTACAAAGCGCCTGACAGATTCAAGGATACTTATTTCTCAAAATATCCGGTAATTTCTGAGATTTATCCCACGACCGCTCTATTATTCAGTGTTAAAAACTATTTCTAAGTCTCGAAATTTCAACTGATACTCATTTTAAAAGACATCCGCAGTATTCTTGATGTGTTAAAGCCACTCAATTTGAAAAACTAATTTTTACGTTATTTTTGAGATATGCAATGTTAAAAAATTTCGATATTTGATTTTCTGGGGAATTGTTTCGAATTTAACGATTCAACATCGACAGGGATATTACGATACTATGGATGCGGGGTATATTGATGAGTATGGGTACGTGTATGTTACCGCGAGAGACGACGATGTTATCAATGTTGCGGGGCACAGGCTCTCGACATCTGCCATCGAGGACGTGGTTCTTGGACATCCTGACGTGGTCGATGCCGCTGTCGTCGGTGTTCCCGAGCACACCAAGGGAGAAATCCCCTTGTGTCTTTACGTCATGAAGAATGGTTTGTAATTTAAAATGATATTGCAGTAAACTAAACTTGGAATTGAAACAGAAGTGAAGGAAAAAATGGAATTTTTAATACAAAAATTTAATTGCCAATATGAATGGAGTATTTAAAAAAGGATTTTTCAGATCCGAGGAAAAATGAAGAGGAGGTGACCCAGGATCTGTTGAGGCAAGTACGGCAATTAATTGGACCCATAGCGTCCTTTAAACTAGCTGCAGCTGTCAAAGGGCTTCCGCGAACTCGCTCTGGGAAAATCATTCGAAAATCCATCGCTGACTTGGCCCGATCGAGAATAGTAAAAGTGAGCTTTTCATTTTCCACTTTGGTGACTAATTTTATTGTTCTGTATTCTCAGCAATTTTCTTACTTTATATTGATAATTTTCTTTGCATTCTGAACATCGTGAATTGATCCGATGATCAATTCACGATGTTCAGAACATTCTCTTGAATTTTTAATGAATAAAGAATTAAAAGAAATCATTACCTTAACGTTACCATGACGACGAGAGAAATGAAGTGGAAAATTTTATTGCGTCAAGGTTTAATTTCTTCAGTAATTTTTTTTGTTCTTCAGATGCCTAGTACGATAGAAGATCCTACTGTTTACATCGACATTAAGAGAGCCCTTCAGAAATTGGGATACGCCAAGTCCGGGCAAGTGTACGATAATTAATTTAAACAATAGCGTAAATTACTATAATGGCAATAATGAATAACCGTCTGTCTGTATAAAATGTATTTTTATTCCGCTGTTATCCTGAGGCATGTAACAACAGTACGATTCACAATGTTAAAGACAGAAATTCACTTTTAATAAAATCAGTGTTTGTTCCTTTTCCTTCGTACTTTTTTCTTCATTGGCCCGGAGATTTTTGCGTTAAGTTCAGGACTTTTTCGCTTTGACGCTTCTGACATCTTTACATCGACCGGAGCCGACTCAGGTTCTGGCGAGGGAACACTAAATCCTGGAATCTGCAATATTTAAATTCTTCAGTAAATTTCGTTCAATTGCACAATTAATCACACAATTTGATACAGAGAAGAGATACATAAATATTGAAAGAATGATAATAAAATAATTTATCTCACCTCTGGCTTCACTAATTTGAACACAAGTTTCTCATGCTGCACATTAGATCTGTCGAGACTCAACTGTACCTCGACAGGATCAAAACTTCTGAACACAACATCCCCACAAGTCTGGGTGTGCTCCTCCTGATTATACACAAAATTAACCGTAGAAACTTCTCCCTTCTTATTCAAATACAGTACCCCCTCCAAGCCATATTTCGGAATGAGTATCTGCAGTGCATTTTTCCTGACAAAGAGAATATACCCAGCCTCAGTTTCAACTCTCTCCCTGAAGAAGAGGTGGGTATTAAGAGCAACCGATGCTCTTCCAGCGTACTGAGCCATTCTGTTTCTGTAATTCAAATTTTGGCAGAGTGCATGGCTCTTCTTTTTGTCGAGGAGCTCTGGATAAGTGGCGTCAGCCCCCACGCAAACAGCCAAAAGACGATGAACAATTATATCAGCATATCTCCTAATGGGAGAGGTGAAGTGGGTGTAGATGGGACAGGCTAGGCCATAATGAAAAAATTCAGTTGGCTGAAGCATTCCACTGACGAAGTAAACAGCCTGCATCATGCAACGAGTTGCCAGTACCTTCAGCATCGTATTGAAATAAGGATTGTCCACTTTGTGTGCTGCCTCCAGGGATTTTGCCAGGTCTTTTCCAGAGAGGGTATTTATCTCGAAACCCTGGTGCTTGCCAGCCTTCACCAGAGGCTCGAAATTCGACTGTGGTGGCTCGGGATGTCGTCGAAGCATCGCACACTCTGGAAATTCCTCAACAATTTTTTTAGCCACTGATATATTAGCTAGCAGCATAAACTCCTCGACCATCGAGTTGGTCTCCCTCATTTTCTTCGCCTCAACCTCAATCGGATCATGGGTTTCACTGTCAACTTGAAAACGTATTTCCGGTGACGCAAGGACCAGCGCTCTGGAAATTCATGAAAAAAGATTATCGTAGATCTCTTCAGACTAATTCAAAGAAAGTAGTCAACAGTGGGGTAGGGGACAGGGAGATTTAAGTTTACCCGTTCTCCAGTCGTCTTTTCTTCAGTTTCTTTGCCAGAGTGTTAAGACCCCTCAGAGACTTGGCTATTGCGTCAGTCTGGCTCGGATCATCGATTTTCAATTGAGCCTCTTCGTACGTCATTGCAGCCCGAGAGCGAATTATTGATTTACAGAAACGAGTATTGATGATGTTAGCGGAATGGTCCATTTCCCAGAGACAGGAGAAGGCGAATCTCTCTTCGTTACCACGGAGTGAGCAGAGATTTGAACTCAGTAATTCTGAAAGTCACGCCATTATTCTTATCTTACTTCTTTTTAATTAAATTTTGTCGTCGACCAAACGATCTCGCTATATTCGCCATCGAGGTCATATTAGATGGCTTCTTTAATATTATAATCAATCTTTCTTAATTAATGAACTTTAAATTGCAAACTCAAATTTTGGAATTGAGTTGGGAAGTCTTACCTGGTACCATGTCAATTCTTTTATCAACAAGGTAAACAGTGGTTGCTCTAGAAGCAGCTTCTTTGTCAAGTGCCGTGCCAGGACGAATAAAATGAGATACATCTGCTATGTGCACAGCAACTTCCAGGTTTCCATTATCCAGTTCTTTACAATGAAGTGCATCGTCGATATCAGTACACCCTGGAGGGTCCACAGAGCATACATCGATGTGGCGAAAATCCTCTCTTTGAGCCACGTCCTGTTATAACAAGTGACATTTCCTATTTATCATTTCTTTTGTTTAGGGATCATGGCGTGAGATGAACAATGTATTTATCAATATTTGGAAATTCTTCAAGTTTGTTCACGGAATTATTTCAGAAAAAATGCTGGCTGGTAGAAAAAATGAGGAAGTGATTGAGGGAAATTCTGGTAGTGATTATCTGGGAATCATGGATGGAAATTCGTTTAGGAATTTTTCTCTGGTAGATCTGCCAGGCATTTGTGGTGAACTGGAGTGCATCGTGAATAATCTCAAAAACTCAACTAATATTGAGTACCTCTTATACGATTATCCCGGGTAAGTTTCGGACTCTGCCGCTGAATAAAGGGGGTTATTTCTTTTGATCTTGTTCAGAATCCTTGAGGAACGCTTGAGGGACAATATAGGGGAGATTGAAGTTCTACTGAAGGAGATAAAAAGTGTAAATTCCAATATTCAGCAGCTGAACCAGCAGCATCTTCTCTTCTCCAAAGAACAAATTTCACTAAAGAAAACTCTCAAGAAACTCAAAGACAATGGTATCATTCCCTTATTTCTATTCCAATTTTTCAATGCTTTAATTAAATCTCGATAAAATCCCATTGAAGAAATTCGAGAGATGGAGACTGTGGTTTCTCTTTTTGATAACGCGATGTTTATCCAATGGGAGAATGCTAAAAACAGCCGGAAAGTAGAAGTCCTCGAGCGGTTTCTGTCAGATGTTATGGTAAGCTCTATTGATATTTCTTGACAATCCAGATGAATTATAATCTTTGCATAGAGTAAACAACTAGCTCTGGAAAATCTAAACATTTTGGCGACGAGGAAGCTGACGAATTTGAAAAAATATCCTAAGGGAAAAGTCACGAATACCAAGTTCATAGAGAGTAATTCAGCCCCAACTCTCTCCCCTGAAAATCCTGAAGTGCAAAAAATTCCGCCAGCTCCACCCCTGCCGCACTGGCCTCTCCCTAATTTCACAAACTGCAATCTTTTTTTCCCAACAGACGATCCAAACAGGTATCCTAATTCTTTAAAATCCAGGGAAATGTATTTTTCTCAAATAAATTTTATTTGAACCAAATAAATCGTTAATTAAAAATTTCCAATAAGTTCCATATGTTTTTTAGATTCAAAGAATGTTGAAAAAATTATGGAAATTTTTAAATAATGATTACCAGCTTTCGAAAAAAACTTGTTTGGGGGGAAAAAATTTCTCAATTCTACACCTCCCTGAAGCCGTATAAAATAAAAATAAAATAGTTTCTAGAATAACATCAATAGAAGAGTTGGACTGACTCCAGAAACTTCTCTTACCGACTCAGTAATGACCCATGGCAGTTTAGGAAGAAAACTGAGGACCTCATCAGAGAATCTGGAATGCGGTACATCGTGCTCGAGTAGCAAGACCTCGTTCTCGGTCTCCTTGTCGCCAACATTTCCGAGGGCCCTGACAAAGTGGCCGAGAGGATACCTGGAATTTCTGGGCCACGAGTCGATAGCCACGATGATCCTCTGCGAGTAGAGAGCCTCTGCCTGTCTCGTCTCGATCCTCACTTTGGGGATTTTCCTCTCAGCTGGCACGAAGAGATGCCTTACATTCTGTACAAAAGGAGCCACAGCCTTATTAAACCAATCCATTACACCAGCTCCTCAATGACAAACTGCATTACCTCTTTGACAGCATTTGGCTGCAATATACCACAGTACTGTCGCCATTTTCGTCTAATGATGCCAACTATTTTGCCAGTTGGTGTGCGTTCAACTTCTTTAGTTGGCTTCTGTACAATTTCCTCCTCGTCGATCACATCCCCAGGGTCCTCTTCTTCCTCGTCCTGGAGTACAATATCACTGGGAGCTGTCCACTGGTCCTTTGGCAGAAGTTCTAGAGCGACGACGTCTCCATCGACAGCCCTGTTCAAGCCAACTCTTCCCTGAACGAGAACGAATTTATCCATTCCCTCCACATTGACAGTCCCTTCAAGAAAATTCTCCCTCGACGCCAAGAACGAGCCCTGGAGGAGCTTTCCACTAGTGATTCCCTTGTGAATCTCAGCTGGGGTCAGGTGACAGGGGAACAGAGGCTCACCCTTTCCCTCCAGGACAAACTGACGTTTACTTAATTTATCTACAAGAACTCCACCGTTGTCCAGTGACTCTACGTACTCCTCCATCGTGAAGGCTAGGAGCCCCTCTCTGCGGGCCTTCTCCTTGTTATCATTGTCATCTGTCAGCAGAACTGTCTTTATCCCCTCCAGGTGACTATTGTACCACTTGGTGGCCTCTCTGATTGCCCTGTCATTCCTGTCATTCGCACTCTCTCCTCTGATTCTCTCCACATAAGTTTCCCTTCGATGCTCATTAACAAAAACGTAAAATTTTCGATTGGGATTAGAGATTATATCTGCCAGAGATTTGTAGACATTTGAGCTTCGGTGTCGCACCTCCTCCAGAACCGTCTGGAGGATTACCACATTGCAGATGAGCTCCTCCTCGAGGATGTGAATCTGGTCTAGAACAATATTTGTATCTAACAGTAGATAATACGGAGTGTTGATTAAAGAACTCGTAGCCCCTGGGCTCTCGTCCAAGATCTTCCCTGACAACTTTGGGCTACAGTTGTCACAGATCTCTGATCCGCACCAGATATCATCCCTGAGGTAGTGATCCCGGGTTATCTTAAAGATATTTCCACTCTTCGTTTTTCGGAAAAATGTCTTGGTCGTCAACATTTTTTATTTCCGGATTTTTCTATTTTCTCACTACAATTACATTTATTATTTAGTTTCTGATAAATAATATTGGAAGATACTGTCAGTGGGTTTTGGAGACTTTTCAGGTTAGGAACTCCATGTGGTTGATGAGATTGAAGCCCTTACCGATTGAGTCTGTTTTTTTTAATTACCCCGTGTTATTAATGGTAATAACTCTCCAGGAATTTATAAACAAAATCACTGTCCAATTTTACAGTCCTTCGAAGACAGAAACCAGATGCAAAAATTATAACACGTCCAATCTATGTGTTTTTAGTTAGTGGGGTTAAATTCGTCGATGTCCCGGCTGCTAACCACCAAGTCTCGAATTTCGTCACGTTTCTGCAGCCCAAGAGAGGGAGGCCGCAACACGCGATGCTGGGGGGTCCATCAAGTCGATGGGGTGAGTTTTATTTTCTGCGGCATGAATGCTTTTTGTTTTTTATTCGTTTAACTGAGATTCAGTCAACTGCAGAACGAGCGGAAGGGAGAAGCAACATCTTGTGGAATATCAAATGAAAAAAATTATTCAATATATTGAAGATATACTACTAATAAAAATTTATTATTATAATGAGCGCGTCGTCTAACCGGCAGCGTGCTTGGCTAGCACGCCGACAGCTGCGGTTCGATCCCGCCAACATTCATTTTTTTTTTTAATAATTCCTATTTTTTCTTTTGTAAATGGCTAATTAATGGAAATATCGCTTAAAAATTGAATACCTCCTCGACGTTCATGTTCTCCTGATACTTTTTCAAAAATTTCGAATTTTTCACTTTCAGTGACAATTTCAGTGAATAGCTCCTCGATGTTCATGTTCCCCTGATACTTTTACAAAAATTTCGAATTTTTCAATTTCAGTGAATAGCTCCTCGACGTTTATGTTACCCTGATACTTTTTCAAAAATTTCGAATTTTTCACTTTCAGTGAAAATTTCAGTGAATAGCTCCTCGATGTTCATGTTCCCCTGATACTTTTACAAAAATTTCGAATTTTTCAATTTCAGTGAATAGCTCCTCGACGTTCATGTTACCCTGATACTTTTTCAAAAATTTCGAATTTTTCACTTTCAGTGAAAATTTCAGTGAATAGCTCCTCGATATTCATGTTCCCCTGATACTTTTTCAAAAATTTCGAATTTTTCACTTTCAGTGAAAATTTCAGTCAATAGCTCCTCGACGTTCATGTTCCCCTGATACTTTTTAGAAAATTTCGAATTTTTCAATTTCACTGGATATCTTCTCGATTTTTAATTATTCCGTTTGTAAACGATATTTTCATTGATTAGCCATTTACAAAAAAAAATTGAAATTATGTTGAAAAAAAAATGAATGTTGGCGGGATCGAACCCCAGCCGTCGGCGTGCTAGCCAAGCCCACTGCCGATTAGACATCGCGCTCATTATTAAAATATTATTTCATTAGTAGTATATCTTCAATATACGGAATCATTTTTTCCATGTGAAATTCCACAAAATGTGGCTTCTCCCTTCCGCTCGTTCTACAGGCGGCTAAATTTCAGTTAAACAATTAAAAAACAAAAAGCATTCATACTGCAGAAAATAAAATTCACCCCGTCGACTTGATGGACACCCCAGCATTGCGTGTGGCGCCCTCCCTCTCTTGGGGTGCAGTACTGCGATGCCGCCGGGGTCACTCCAACCCCCAGAACTGAGCCTCTACTTTAGTCAATCCTCTTTGTATCCGATATTCCGATCTAACCTAGACGAGATTTTCTAACCTTTGCTTCAAAAATAGATAAACATTTTCCGTGTGAATATAAGTCAGTACATGGTTTTTTAATATCGTTAAAAATGGCTGATTTTGACACAGACTTGTTTAATGCTTTTGAAGAAGCCAACGACAATGTCGTAGAAATTATTCCACAAACCACTGAACCAGAAGCCGGAAGTTCCAGTCACAAGTAATATTGGCTATATTGGGGCTATATTATATTACTGATACAGTAATTTTAATATTTTTAATACAAAAATAGTTAATTCTTTGTTTGCATTATATTTAGGAACGATGAAGCTAGCACGAATCGGAAACGCGAAAACGATGATGTCGATGACGCGGGCACGAAGAAGATGAAAGTCGAGTCAATTCTTGATGACATCAAGTAAGAAACCACCCTTGATTCCACTTAGTCATGTAATTCTAAACAAACAGTAATTCTTGACTTTATCCACAGCGTTGATGAGCTAGTCTCGCAAATAAAGATCCACAAAATAGAAGCTATCGAATCATGTACTCACGAAGTGGCAGTCCCTCCAGACCACGACTACATTCCTTTGGAGATTAAAACAACCCCTCCGGCAAAAGAATATAAATTCATTCTCGATCCATTTCAACGAGAAGCCATTCTCTGCATCGAAAACAATCAATCAGTTTTGGTCTCAGCTCACACGTCAGCTGGCAAAACCGTAGTAGCTGAATATGCCATTGCCTGTTCGTTGAGAGACAAACAACGAGTTATTTATACAACCCCAATCAAAGCTCTGAGTAACCAAAAATATCGAGAGTTCTATGAAGAATTCAAAGACGTTGGGCTTATTACCGGAGATGTTACGATAAATCCAACAGCTAGTATTCTGATCATGACCACAGAAATTCTGAGAAATATGTTGTATAGAGGATCAGAAGTGATGAGAGAAGTAGGATGGGTGATTTTTGATGAAATTCATTATATGAGGGATAAGGAGCGAGGGGTTGTATGGGAGGAAACATTAATTTTATTGCCTGATAATGTACATTATGTTTTCCTCTCAGCCACCATTCCCAATGCTCGACAATTTGCCGAGTGGGTAGCACATCTTCACCATCAACCTTGTCACGTAGTTTACACTGACTACCGTCCAACACCTTTGCAGCATTATATATTTCCAGCTGGAGGTGATGGTATCCACTTAGTAGTAAATGAGGACGGTCAGTTTAAAGAGGACAACTTTAATAGAGCGATGGCCTGTCTTCAGAACTCGGGTGAAGCTTCTAAAGGTGACCAAAAAGGCAGAAGGGGTGGGTTCCGCGGAGGGAGTGCTGATTCCTCCAACATCTTCAAGATTGTCAAAATGATTATGGAGAGGAACTTTGCTCCAGTCATCATTTTCAGTTTTTCTAAGAAGGATTGCGAGCTGTATGCTATGCAAATGGCACAATTAGACCTCAATTCGCCTCAAGAAAAATTACTAGTTGATGAAGTATTCATGAATGCCATGGATGTGTTGAGCGAGGAGGATAAAAAGTTGCCTCAAGTGGAAAATGTACTTCCGCTGCTGCGAAGAGGAATCGGAATCCATCATGGAGGCTTACTTCCGATTTTGAAGGAGACGGTAGAGATCCTTTTTGGTGAAGGATTGATAAAAGCCTTGTTTGCTACTGAAACATTTGCTATGGGGTTGAACATGCCTGCAAGGACAGTTTTATTCACAGCCCCAAGGAAATTTGATGGGAAAGAGTTCAGGTGGATTACATCAGGTGAATATATTCAGATGTCAGGACGTGCTGGCAGAAGAGGCCTCGACGAGAAGGGAATAGTCATTCTAATGATTGATGAACAAGTCAGCCCTGTAGTAGGAAAGGCAATTGTTCAGGGAAAAGCAGATCCAATTAACTCCGCTTTTCACCTGACTTATAACATGGTTTTGAATCTTTTAAGAGTCGAGGAGATTAACCCGGAGTACATGTTAGAAAGAAGTTTCTATCAATTCCAGAATCAAGCCGCCATTCCGGATCTTTATAACAAAGTAAAAGAATTACAACAAACTTATGATCAAATCGAAGTTGAAAAGTTCACGCAAATTTCGGCATACCATGAGATTCGGGAACAGCTAGATAAATTTGGAGGAGATTTCCGGAATTATTTGACGAAGCCAGAGTACCTTGTTCCATTTCTGCAACCTGGAAGAATGGTGAAAATAAAGAATCAACATGCATTCGACTGGGGAATCGTAGTCAATTTCAAAAAGAAAAATTCGAGAAATCCTAAAGAAAGCGCAAGCATAATTGTTGACGTTCTTCTTCATGTATCCAAGAACTCGAAAGAAGACGCTCCAATCCCGTGTGCTCAGGGTGAGGAAGGCGAAGTTGAAGTCGTGCCCGTCCTACATACTTTAATCTCCCAAATAAGTTCGCTCAGACTCAAATATCCCAAGGATTTAAGACCCGCAGATAATCGTAAGAAGGTCTTAAAAACTATTCAGGAAGTAAAAAGACGGTTTCCAGATGGTCCTCCACTCCTAAATCCTATAACTGAAATGAGGATTGAAGATTCGCTATTCAAAGATATTGTAAAAAAAATTGAAATATTAGAGGAAAGATTATATAAACATCCGCTACACAAGGATCCACATCTTGATGAAATTTACAATAATTTTTCTAAGAAGCAAGATGTGGGAATGAAATTGAAAGAGGCGAAGCAGGAACTGAAACAGGCCAAGTCTGTGCTTCAGATGGATGAATTAAAATGCAGGAAGAGGGTTTTGAGGAGAATGGCCTACTGCACTGCTGCAGATGTTATCGAGCTCAAGGGACGAGTTGCCTGTGAATTGAATGGTGCAGATGAATTACTGCTTACTGAAATGATTTTCAATGGCTTATTCAATTCGTTGAGTATACCACAGGTTGCTGCATTACTAAGTTGTTTTGTTTGTGATGAAAAGTCCTCAGAAATGCCAAAAACCACTAATGAGCTGAGTGGGCCATTGAGACAGATGCAGGATCTTGCCAGAAGAATTTCTAAAGTGTCCTCCGAGGCCCATTTGGAACTTGATGAGGATTCATATGTGGAGAGCTTCAAACCATATCTAATGGATGTTGTGTATGCTTGGTGCAAAGGCGCCAGTTTTCTCCAGATCTGCAAGATGACGGATATTTTTGAGGGATCCATCATCAGATGTATGAGACGACTCGAGGAAGTTTTGAGACAACTAACACAAGCTGCAAAGAATATTGGAAATACTGATTTAGAGAATAAATTCAGTGAGGCCATTAAAATTATGAAACGTGACATCGTTTTTGCAGCCTCGCTTTATTTGTAATGAATATCGTTTGAAAATCTATTTCGGTACAAATATGAAACTCAGATGAGTTGATTTCATGTAGCAAATATGAAAAGAATATTGAATGAAATTGTAGATTTCTTCCAATTTATAGATTTTTTTATTTTCCAAAAACAGATCTCGGTTTAAAACATACAATACAAGAATCGAGGGTAGGTCCTTCCTTTCAAATCATCGAATAACATTTGTTTTCAAAATTTTCATCGTTTGTCTTTACTTGATTTGTTTTGTATCTTTTTACTGTGTTCTTATAAAATAGAGCTTGTGTGTAATACCATGTCAGATTAAAAAGATACAGCACATTTATTTTTTAATTTCTAGGACGAAAGACAACGCATTTCAATGTTGTCGGGCTAAAAAATGGATGAATTTTCAATAAATAAATACAATTTTTGATAGAAAAGGAAAATTGCAATTATTCGAATATCTATCGTGTTGTAGATTTCGTAGGAAAAACATTTTTAACAACTTATCTTTCTTCTAAAATTACGGTCTCTTGTGTGCAGAATTTGAGTTCCGATAGCGTGCGCTTGGTATCCATAAATGTAAGCTGGATCAAAAAAAAGGAAAGTTGCATTGATAATCATGATTAAATAATTATTCTTACCCAATGAGATATGTTTCACACTGATACATGAATCCCATATATAAATTCCACTTACTGGTCAATATTGGAACAATATTCCAAAATGTTATTTAGATAAAAAAATTTTAATAGTAATTTTATATTAATCTAAGGATCGGTTGGATAGACTAGATTATCTCGTGTTTATATTTTTTTATTTGAAAATTTGGTGCAGTCCTGCTTCGAACACAAATGCACCACAAAAATGCATGCGTACTAAAAAAAGTAAAAAAAAATATACATAGAGTGCGTGCTTTTTAATTCCCATGAGGATAATTGTAATAAAGCCTGGGGCCTATGCTGATTATTCTGTATTGAAATTGTATCCGAAAAACTGTGAAAATAGATTTTAAAAAAAGAGAAGCACCTTTTTCTGAATTAGCTGGGGAAATTGGCAAATTGGTTGCATGTGTACTGTGTAAAAAATGATTAGTCTTTATTTGAAATAGAATGTAGAGTGATGTGAGATATTCTATCCGATCTATCCACCCGTGCCTTAATACAATCTTTATATGAATCATATGAATCAATGAAAAACTCACGTCTCTTCGAGGCCAGCTAGACAAGACCTTATACTCTTCTGTAGGATATCCTTCGACTATAAGAAAATTGAGAAGTGTCTGTAATGGTGTGTCCGGTCGGAATCTGCGTTCTAAAAACTTCCCTCCTGGTAGTCTGACCTTGATTTTCAAAACGCCATCGGACGAATCTGCATCGGGCTCTGCCGGCAAGCTGGATTCTACCGCAAGTCTATGGGCTTCTTTTCTCGCCTCCTCAGCAAGTCTCTCATTCTCTGCTTGTTCCTTTTGCTGTTTCTCAAGCCGTTTTGCTTCTTCCTTAGCTCTATCTGCAGCTAAACTCTCCTGATATGCTTTATCCTGCTCCTGCTTAACCTTTTCCCTTGCCTGTCTCTCCTCTTCCGCTCCAATATCGGCACTTTTTTGTTCCTGGAAAACATCCACTGCATGAATTAAGTTTATCAGCAACTCGTTAACTCCCACATTGCCGTTTACAATGGTAAAAATTTCTGTTGTTGACCTCGACCTCATTAGAATCATCAGTACAGGTAAAGTGTCAACATCAATATTCCGTACAGCTTCAGAGCCAATCATTCCCAAAGATTGGGTAACAGAGTGGAAAAATTTCTGCATGTTACTCTCATATGTGAAGTCCCATCCCCACACAATAAAATTTGCTGATAAAAGTTGCAGAACTGTCTCACAACCTAATAGTTGTGTACAGAAAACATTAGTTAATACGCTGTTATCGTGATGCAAATAGACAGCTAGGAGTCTACGGTCTTTAGCAGGTTTTAAACATGATTCTTTGATAGCTTCGTCGAAAGTTCCAGTAAAAAATTTTGGGTGCGCTGAACCGTAACGTTTCTCAAATTGATCGGCAAAGTGTAGAGTCCCCATTGTCTCATCTTCAACATTATCTGGCATTAAGCGTAGGATTTTAGCTGGAGTAATATTATCAATGAACTGGTCATCTTCAATGATAAAAGACCCTGGAGCGTCTTCGAATTCCTCAACATCTTCATTTTCGTCGGCAGAGCTATCACTGTTCACTAGATCGACAACTGGTTTTTCTTTACTTGGCATTTTAGACACAGTTAAATTGTGCTCTGGAAACGATATTCCACTTTGTGCTAGATTTATCTTATCATCTTCAACGGTGGTTGGCCAGCCTTTCCACTGTTGATTTCTTACTGGAACGTCGATTAAGGTGAAAACGCCAGTTTTAACGTCTAGAACTGACGCTGTACCAGGATATTTTAAATTGTAAGTTTTGTTGTATACCTCGTCCTTTATATTTAGCATGTATGTTTGTGATAGACGATCTGATAGTGTAATCCTGAAATAGTACAAATAAAAGAAATTAATGAGACAATTCATTTTTCTTACTTAATCCAAGTAAGATAGCAAAAAGGAAAGGTTCAGATAAAATAAATAGACAACCCAGATAATCCAGCCGAGGCTTAAGTGGAAAACTGATTATCGTGAAGATTGAAATTAATGGCTTCACAACGGATGCAGAAATAAAACTTACGCGTTTAAAGTAGAATCTCCAATCTCTACTATCGGATTGAGCATTAAGAAATTTTCGGCCGGCAAATTCAAACTTTGGAGCATCACATTATTTGTCTTTGGCCCCTCCTTATTCCATCCTTCGAGTTCTTGTTGACAAGGAACAACATTGGTTTTCTTAAAGATAGCATCTTTTAGATCACCTATAACGGCAAAAATTTTTGCAAAAAACCAATGAATAAATTCAATCAAACCATTCAAACTAGATATGGAGTGCTAGAATGAACCAATGACAGATCAAACTCAATTTGTGAAACCCTCTTTTGAAATTCAACTCAGCCAGTAAAAATTTACAAGAATTGCAACTCTGTTACGAACTAAGATGATTACAAGCAACCAATTTCACTCATGTTTAGACAAGTATTTGTTAAAAATTAATCTGGAAGTCAAGAAAATTTATCTTGACTCACTTCTTAACAATACAAATAATTTTTTCACAAGCTTCTAAATGATGGATAAACATACTCAGCGTGCAGCTGTCTGAAATATCAATTTTATAAATATGGTCCAAATATTTGACGTTGAATGTGAGTATTGTAGATTTCGACTTTTTCAGGCTGCTTGTTCCGGGCTTGGCGAAATAATCTTGCTGACTTTGTTGTATTTTGTTTTTTGTCACATCTGAGGATGACGAAAATGTTACAACTGGCACTCCCTGTACAACCTCCATCATCTCAATGTCTGGACTCATTTCCGATGGTAATTGCTGTGTATCGTGGTGCATCGCATTGTTCAAAGCAGCCTGTCCCGCGTTTCATTAAAATTTTATGTTATTAATTTAATTAACGATTTTTGTGCATACGTTCTCGTAGAAATGATTAAAAATCGGACTACTTACCACCAGATCCCAATTAGTATTCTCAAGATGCATAATTGCCTCACCAACGTCCTCAATCCCCGAGCAAGCCTGCAAAAAGTGCACAATATCGATGGACGGACATGACAATGAATGATGACAATAGAAATAAGACTAGCTCAATTTAATATTCTTATCTCATTTTTGGGATGAGAATAATCACGGAAAATTAAAACTTTAATTAAAAAATTATTCGCATGCATTAAACGAACGAATGTTTGGATTATTAGCCATTTCAGGCTAAAAATAAGGAGCTAACCTAATAATGGTCCACCGCAGTTAATTGATTTTTACCTGAAAGTCAGCCAAAGTAACCTCTCGATTTTCTGACATTATTGTTCCACGTTGTATTGACCCCAATAGCTCCGAAGTTGAATGAAAATCGATAAGTTTCTTCAATTTTTTTTCTTGCAATGTTGTGTTTTGGACTCCAAATCATCAATTATGCTCTGGAATACGATGTACGCATTGCCACTCACGCCATCACTTCTAGAAGTATAAAATGGTATGATAAAACGAATACGCTAGAAGTTTAAGTCTGATATGAGAAATGCCAAATTTACTACAAAATTTCATTTATAGATTTGAGGTTTGAGGTAAAACAGTCGAGATCATTCCTGATTATAGAATTTTTGGTATGCATCAAGGTTCTTTTCAGTAAAAAAAAAGCATGGAAAAAGTGACATGGCGGTGGGTAAACGGTGCATTCTCATGTGAACGTTCATGGGAGAGGAGTAGGCATATGCAATGGTAGATGGCAGTTTTAAAAATGGTCCTTCCATCCGCGAGGTGTCCCGGTGCGCATGCACCCAGTCCCAAATTTGGCGGTTGAATCTTGCTAGGCAGCTCCAAATCATGGGCCTAATAAATGACACTTCCAAAATATGCAAATTTCATGGTTAAAAAAAAAAAGTAAATGTCTATCCTCGGGTTGAATAACAATCATTACGTATCGTTTGTTTAAAATTGCTGAATTTATTTACCCATATTTTTTCAATGCATAAATACATAAGATAATAATGATAATGGTTACATATTCTTTAGTCCGAGACAGCGACGACAACACCTGTTCAGAGCAACAAAAACAACAAGCCCATATCCCCCCACTTTCCATACGAGCCTAAAAAGCCAAAAAATCAATAATCACGAGGGCGAATGTCAAGCGTCACATCGACAACTCTGGAAGGAGACCAACAGTGGAGGAGGTGGAGGAGAAAAAAAAATACAGAACCCACTACAATAAAGGAAGGAAAAAAAAAGCATGTGCAGATAGATAAGAACGATGTAGCCCGATTAAACCAAAACTACGTATCAACGTCGATTATGCGCAAGAATGTGCGCAGCACGGTGAAGGAGGAGAGGGCAAGTGAAATAACAGGGACAAATAGAAAGACGGGAAGATAAAAGGAGCAAAAGTGAAAAAGAGAAAACAGAGGGACCCGAGGAGGAGATTGTGAGGGGATAAACTGTAGCTCTTTGTCACAACACGATGGCGCTGGTTAAGCATTGATATATATTTACGCGTGCCACTCTCATCCCTACCCAGATGCCTACCATCAAACACAATCAAGAGACCCTTCCCTCCCTTTCCCCTTATGCTTAGCCTTTTACATTGGATTATACATACTTTATTGATGTATGACATATACACAGGTAAAGGGTATAGCAAGGTATAACGAGATGGACGAGTGGCCATGGCCGTCGGAGGGGTGGGCAATAAGGGGGAGAGAGAGTCGAGAGTGATCTTACATACTCGGCTGCTTGAAATTTTTAACTCGAGTGAGCAAAGTCTCTCCCCTTTCCTCATCCCTCTTCACTTCCACTACTTCACTTGATCCGTGGCCCCCTCATCTCTTTAATCCATGGCCAATGGTCGATGGTGGTTGGCGGCTCGAGTTCTCTCCTTCCTTCTCCCATCGTATTTATTCGTAGGGGATTTTTTGACAAGTACTGTGCGCGCGTATTTTCCAGCAGCCGTCATCGGTATTACGGACACAGCCGGATTTGTACGAACTCTCTCCCTCCCCCTCCGTCCGCCCCCCTCATCAACACACACTATTTTAAATGAACTCAACGTGTATACATGAAACTACAGCAGTATATCCCCCTATTACGTCGTCATTATAAAAAAAAATATATCGCCTTTGTATTAGTGAACACCAGTGACTCTACTATGCCTCGGCTAGTGCTACTGTCCCGCGCCTGCTTTTACTACATCATCCTTTCTCTCTCTATTTCCCTCTATTTCACTCTATCACTCCCTTCCTCCATCGGCTCCATCTCGTTTACTGTTTTTTTACCTCCTTTTATTTTCATGTCGGGTGGTGGAATAAACTTGTGTGTGCGTTTCGTTTCATCAGTGCGTTGTTAGTTGTGTTGTGTGTGCGCGCCTATCCTTAACATTCTCGACCTCAAGTAAATATCGAAAGGCGTATATTACCGAGTGAAAAAAAAGGCATTCATACATATGCAGTTTCATGTGGAATTGAGTGAAGATATAGTGAAATGATGATGAGGAACAGCCAATGTTGGTTAATATTTTGGATTACCGTGTAATAGAGCGGTTTGTGGATGCCCGCTGGTGAGTCTCTGGGCTATTTTTTTTTGGCGTTTGTAACAAAATGGGAAGGTCCAAGTTTCCCGGCAAGCCGCCTAAGACGGTAACAAGAAAGCGAATCAAAGTTCTTGGTAGGCCTGATACTGCTCATACTACTGATTCAGTCACCTTTGCCGAAAACATTTACTATGGACTTTCCCTGGTGAATGAAACACTTGGTGACAATGAGAAGGTGAGCATGTTTTTTTCTCTTTTTTTTTTCTTTATATCATCGTGTGTGTGTATTTTTTTGTTCGTCGTCCATTGTTGTTTAAGCGTCCCACAGCCGGTTCAATCAATCCGAGCGTCTCTCCACTTTGATATCTTTTTTTGTTTTCTATACTTTATCACTTTGTCGCTATATGGACACATTGTTATAGCGACTCGTTGTGAGACGCGCACAATTGTGAAGCGGTCGAGAAGAATCTTTTGCTCCAATGAAGGTTAGACTTGTGTGAGAGACCTTGGGCTGCTGACGAATCTGCGATGATGCCTTCGTTCTACCTTTCTGATTATTTTTTTTTTCTTCGAGCACTCCCGATTGCAGCGGTTTATATCTTTACGAAGAATGGCTGATTTTTTTTTCAAGTCTCCAATAAACATTTGGAGATGTTGAATCCATGACCATAACCTCTGTAAATTTGTGTTTGGTTGACAGAAGAATTGAGATACTTTTAATATTCAGCCCTGGATTCATCTCTGGTCCTGCACTGAAATCTACTCACTACTTTGCATGTTTCAAGAGGAGATAATTATTATCTCTATTTTTCTAACTCATTTATTCAAAAGTCAATTTCTGGCAGTCATGTTCGCGGCAAAACTCAATTTTCATACATTAATATCTGTCAAATGACTGAATCAAAAATTTTCAATAAAATTTGTTTCATTAGCGAAAAATGTTGAAATATTTTCCGGCATTTTTCAAAGTGATTTTTCGATTATCCAAAGTAGAAGAGGGATTCAAATGATAACGTTAAAAATCAGGTGACAAGAGGGAGTTAAAGTAATAATAATATTAATAGAGTAATGTCAAGTGATTTTTGCATAACTAGAATTGTCATAGTGGTTGAAAGGTGATAGGACTTATGGATAATGTTCTTTTTCAGGAACCTCCATTCCACGGCTTCAGTAGCAAAGAGGCAAAACTATCAGTCTCATATATAAAAACTAAACACCGAGATGATGACCAAAATGTGGAGAGAAATTCCGACAAGATTCAAGTGGACTCCCAAAGTCATCCACAACAGTCTGAAAATAACACAGTGGAGACTGATGAGAATTCATCGAATAAAGATGTCCCGCAGGGTAGTATAGAATCAGCTGGTAAGAATGACGATGAAGAGGTAAAAAATAAACCGAACAAGCCAAAAGTATGTAAACGTGTTAGATTCAAAACTGTCGCTGGTACGCCAGTACTAAAATCAGTCAACAATATCTTGGATCGTCATCAAAGAACACGTCAGTTACGAAATAGTACAGCGAAGCGGTTATTACAAAGAGCAAAATTCAATATCGGTACGAATAATCGTGGTAACTGTGTGACACCGAGCGATAAAACCAGCAATGTGAGAAAATTCATTCTACCGATGCGAAGTGCACACTCGTCGAGGGTAATAAAGCCAAATAAGAGATTCATCGAGGAATTGGAAGAGCGTACCAATCCTGACAACGATAATGACAGCAAAAATCCGAAAAAAGTTAAAGTTATGGCTGAAAAAATGAATAACACTGAGAATATTGATAAAACACGTAAAGAGATTAAACAAACGAAACATAAATGGCGAAAGAACATCACCAATGTGCACATTAGTAATTCAAAAAGCGTTGAAGACACGCAAACGCAAAAGGAGAGAAAAACTCATAACTCCAGTAAAATCAAAATTACCTTGAATCAAACGACTCAAGATGATAAGCAATTATTGGTTCCTGGAAAAGCTCTTCCTGATTCAGATGTTCCATTTGTTGAGTCTTCCAGGATTCAAACGAGATCAGGTGCCCAGAGTGAAACATTGGGGCTGCAAAATTATTCCGAAACGTCACAAACATCGAACATAAGCCCCGATGATTCCAGCATAAATCCGGGAATAATGACGGCGGAGGAATCTGAAGAGGTGGAAGAACGAAATGATGATGAGTTTGATTCTGATAGTGAATTATCAGAGCGTGGAAGTGATCAGAGTAATCACAGTGAGGATGAGCAGTCTGAATGGACTGGAATGAAGTTGGATGGTGGCAAAGTGATCCTACGTAAAGCAAGACTGAAATTGGATAATAAAAATTCTGGTGGAACCGAGGGTCCATTCTCTGTGACAAATCCCCAAAATGTTCCGGCTAATCAGACAAATCCAGGAATAACTGGTACTGTGAAATGTGGAGTCTGTGGTGCAGTTAGGTTCTATCGTTTCGTTAAGCAGGCTCGAAAATTTGGCATTCACAGCTGTGAATCCTGCAGAAAATTTATAAGCAAAATAATCAAGAGACAAGCTTGTGCAAATGCTAGTAACAAGCCTTTGCCTATTCTCCAGTGTCATAAGGGTGACGGTTTGTGTTTGGTACCACCAGTGGTACGTAGCCAGCAGTGGAACTTGATGAGATGTGTTTACAAAGCTAGATGTCCAGCTTGTTGGTTGAAAATGTGTCTCAAATGCTATCACATTCCAACAACGTTGAAAGCTGGACTCAATGCACTCCTTCCACCTTTGATGAGAGACCCAGTGATATCTCTGGGTACACTCGGTCAGGATGATAATGACGTCTTGGGACAAAAGACAATTGGATCAATGAGTTGGCCATCAGAGGACAGCCTCGAGAAGAATCTCTTCAAGTCTGCCATGAGTTGGAACGGAATTGATATTTCAAAAGAGGGTATTGGGGATGGAAATTCAACGAAGAAAGAAGAAAAATTCCATTCTCTCACAATAGTCTCAACCGAGAAAAAGAGAAAAAAAGATAATCGAATAAAAGTGAGGAAGAAAGTAAAGAATCCGGTTGTTCCACTTCCAAGTGCTGGTGTTGCCACTCAGGGTTCTCAAGTCCCAGTTGTCAGGCAGAGAATTGATCTTAAGGGTCCCAGAGTGAAACACGTGTGCAGAAGTGCTAGTGTTGCTCTAGGTCAACCTATAGCAACATTTCCGGCTAACGATGGCAAAGACGAGACCGATGCCAACAAGATCGTTCCAAAAACTTACAGAGATGAGGATAAATCAGACAAACGAGAGGAAATCACTAAACAGTCACAGAAGGCTAATCAAGAAAATAATGCCAATTCTAATCATAATGTGCAGCACTCGAACACAAAAAGGAATAAAAATCAACAAAGTATTTTGGCACCGAACCATCAAGTAGTAAGTATCATCGCTCACATTTATCTTGTGATATTTTTAGATATTATTTGTTATTTTTGGTTAAACAGGTGCGGGCATTACCAAAACCAGCAGTCAATACTGCTCATACAATATCGATAGATTTTTGGGAGCAGTATGATCCAGCTGAAGTTGGTGCCAAAGGCTTTGCACTCATTGGATCCGAGGACTTTCACATTCCTGCTATTTGTTTTCTCTGTGGAAGTGCTGGAAAAGAGCCAGTGAGTATTTAATAACAATTATATGCTATAGAAAGTGGTTGAAAAACATTCCACCAGTTGACGCTATTTTTTTCTGTAATCGAGTGAAATGAGTAGAAGTAATGGGGTACTCCATTCACTTTTTCAATAATCCTTACTTCAACTATCAAGATTTGGTAAAACATCGAAATCAATTCAATCAATGATTTTTTTTTTGTATTTCAAATGGAACAATTTGAAAAAGAAAACGAAAAAAAAGGGTCTAATTTTTTTGATTTACAGTTGATACATTGCCAGTGCTGTTGTGAGCCATACCATGCTTTTTGTCTCGAGCCCAGTGAGTGGAATGCCTGTGCCCAACCGAACTGGTGTTGTCCACGATGTACAATCTGTCAAACTTGTCACTTGCGCGTGGGTCCCAAACTATCGTGCATTAGATGTCGCCAGTCATTTCATCATGCTTGTCTATCAAAATCAGGGGTCAATGCAAGGTTGTATAGTCCAGATACACCTTATGTCTGTCAGAGTTGTGTAAAATGCAAGAGCTGCGGTAGCGAAGGTGTGAATCTCTACGTCGGCAATCTTCCATTATGTTCCATGTGCTTCAAGCTAAGACAACGCGGAAACTACTGTCCCCTGTGCCAACGTTGCTACAACAAGAATGACTTTGACTCGAAGATGATGGAGTGCAATGAGTGCTCGTGCTGGGTGCACGCTAGATGTGAGGGGCTATCCGATGAATTTTACCAAGTACTCAGTTATCTACCTGATTCCATAGAATTCACCTGCAGTCAGTGCTCTCCAAATCCCAATTCTGTTTGGAGAAATGCCATTGAGAGTGAACTCAAAGCAGGATTTATTTCTGTGATTAAGGCACTGAGTAAAAACCGTAAAATGTGCGCAGCATTGAAATGGAGTCCTCGAAAAGAATGTCTGTGCAAAGTCGCAGCTAGTGCTAGGAGACTCGATTTTTCCGATGACAAATATACCGGTGAATATGCTGATGATCCTGAGGAGTCTGACAAACCATCAGACACAATTGTAGATTCCAAAATTGATCCGTTGAGTAGGTTTGATTTTGAAATCGAGGATCAACCCATCGATCTTCCTCGAAGAGGCCTTCGAAGGCTCAAGCAAAGGTTTCATCTGAAAGAGTGTTCAGTTAGAGTGAAGAACTGCATTGTACTCAAGGACAATCAAGAGGACACTTCCAGTCAGGAGTCATCAAGTACAGGTGAGAATCAAGAATGTCACTGCTCAGAACAACAGATCTTAGCGAGACCATCGCCAACTTTGATATCAGTCAAGAGGAAAGTTAATGGGAATGAGTACAGATCTTTGCTGCAATTTCACTGTGACATGGAGCACGTGGTAAACCGAGCTAGCGCAGATAATCTCATTGAGTCTTATCATAAATCCCTCCAAGAAGTTTTTCCCTGGTTCGATCCAAAACGATCGAAGATCAGTTCCTCTGGAAGTGGACTGTCGACACCATCGAAAGATCCATCCATGTGTCTGGACTCTCCAATATGCCCTAAACTTGATGACTCTATTTTGGAGACTTGGAAGGAGGAAGTGCTAAAAGCTCCAAAGGCTATAGCAGCAAAGACTGGCAATCTTTACAGCAATATTGTAGTTGAGGACACTAGATGTTGTGCACTGTGTAAAAGTTTGGGTGATGGACAGGGAACAAGGGAGGGAAGACTTTTGTATTGCGGACAGAATGAGTGGGTTCACTCCAATTGTGCTCTCTGGTCCAACGAGGTTTTCGAGGAGATCGATGGCTCTCTACAGAACGTTCACAATGCCATATCCAGAGGAAGACAGATAAGGTGCTCAGAGTGTGGAAAAAAAGGTGCAAGTATCGGATGTTGCGCCAAAAATTGCTCCACAACTTATCACTTTCCATGTGCCAGGAATGCTGGTCTTGGATTCAACGATGACAAAACCATATTCTGTACATCACATTTGAGTAATTGTATTACCAAAACTCCCCATAATAACGATGATTTTGAGTTGAAAAGACTGGTCTATGTAGAGATAGACAGGAAAAAGAAAAAGTTTGTTGATCCCAATCACGTGAGAGTTATGATTGGATCACTGATGATCGATTGTTTGGGAATAATTGTTCCTGAATTTTCAGACAGCCCAGAAAAAATTCTTCCAACCAATTACAAATGCTCCAGGTTATATTGGTCGACAGTTAATCCAATGAAAATCGTCAAGTACTATATCAGAACTTATGTTCAACATTGCACCACTGAAGTAACACATGATGCTGAACATAATGTAACGATTGATCATTCCAAGGAATTGGAGAGAGAGGAGAGACAGAAATTGGAACAATTAGTGGTGAAACAAACACTAGATGCTGTTATTGATTCGGTTTACAATAAAGAGGTTGATGAGAATCTTGCAGAGCAAAACAACACTGATCTTCTTCCTCCTGAGATAACAGATGTTATTTTTCAAGATTTACCGCATGATTTATTGGATGGAATATCCATGCAGGATATTTTTCCAAAAATGAGTTATGAGGATTTTTTGGCCATGGACATGAGAAATGATGGGGTATTTGGCAATGATTTACTCAAAGATGATATACTTTCCTCTGATGTCGATGAAATAATAAAACCATCTGAGAATAAAGTGGCCAAAGTCGACCCAACAATATCAGAATTGTCTCAGAACGATCTCTGGTTGCATCTGGGGACCAAAGGATGTGTCCAAGAGTTTATGGATGATGTATTGAATTCAAAAGGGCCGAAAATGGGTGGAAGAGAACTGAAGAGATCCAAGTCTGAGGTAATTGGCAATAATCCGTTGTTGGTTGGAGGACAAAGGCATCATCAGAGATCCTGTAGTTTGACTTGGAGCTGTAAACTAGATGGGACTTATGGGCCAACAATGAAAAGAAGAAAGATTCCCAGACCTGCGCCAGCATCCAGAGCAGTTGGTGAAACGAATTTAACGGTAATGGAGCCGCCGAATGACAGAACATCAGTATTTCACGAGTTGAGAATTCCAGAGAGCATCATGCTGACCGTTGGAAGAGCAAATACTCCGAGTATAATAGGAGAGAACAACAAGGATCACAAAAGACTTCTCTGGCATACGAGGCAACAACCAAGAATTGTTCAAGTTGATGGTCCAGCTGATGCTGGCAGCGCCAGTGAATGCAGCTCTCCAGAATATAATATTGAAGATAGAATTCCACAGATAGATGGTACCAATGATGAAACATCATCGGATAACACTTCGTGGTTCTCTTTCAGGGACAAAATGACTTCTACTTGTCCAGCTTTTTCTCAGAATTATTCCAACCAGAATAAACTTGGAGATCTCTTCCACGATGAAAGCAGTAATGAGAGCTTTAAAATTCCTCAATTGGACGGTGCAGACGATGTCTCCAGTGATGATGAGCCTTCCCAGAACCATCAGCAGCCACTAGAACCTTGTACTCCAATTGCACACATTGGAGATGGTCCAGTAACGTGCAAAAGATGTCAGTGCACTTACAGAACTCAGGACAGTTACAATCGTCACCTAATGACCTGTGATATTGTCACAATGAGTGATAGTGACTCAGAGACAATTGATCATAACAAAGGTTCATCACCAAATTCACGATTCTCCGACAGTGTTGAATCGATGTCCCCTCAGTTCATTACAATGTCACCTTCAGAGGGTCATACAATGACCTCAGAATACCCTGACATGCAAGTGACTTCGCCACTGGAGGCATCAGTACCTTCACCCCACCCAGCCATTCAAATTGAACCAATAGCACAGGCCTTGATCACACCTCAAATGCATACGCATTCAACTGTTGAAACTCTTCACCAAACAGTATTAACGTCCAACGAAGTAATTGTTCAGACCCAGTATACTAGGACAACTACAACCCTGCCGAATTCCGCAGTATTACCACAAGATAACATGGTACAGATAACAGAGGTGACAGACCTTACTACACCAGATGAAAGAACTTTACCACATCTACCACCTGGAATAGCTGATACTATTGCCAATTCTCAATCCTTGTCGCCAAGGGATTCATCGATGTCAACGTGTGGAATTGCTGATGGTGCTCAAATTAATCTCCAATCACCGAAAACAACAAAGCCCAAATCGCCGAGAACTCCTAAGCCCAGAACCAAACTGATAAAGCCCCAGATAATGAGGAATTCAATTCCTCAACAAGTTGCACCAGTTCGCTACCAAACTGTTCCGAGTGCAACTCCAGTTCTCCAACTACAACAAACTCAAAGGCCAACCCCTCCAACTGTGATACTTCAACAAGTACCAGGTTCTGGGTTAATGTCATACGTTGAAACTCTACAGCAACAATCGGGCCAGAATGTTCAGTACATAACAGCCATTGGAGGTCAAGAAGCAAGTTACAAGCCACAATTTATAACAACCAATCAACTGGTTCCTGGCACCTACATTCAAGCGGGTTCAGACAATTTATTAGCACTTCAAAACGGTGGAATATCAGTTCTCCCTGGTGTGCAACTAGCTCAACCTCAGCCAACAGTTCTAGGAACTATAATACAACAACAACCGAGTACCATTCAGTGTGGAGTCATTTCCTCGGAACAACTTGTCCTAAGTTCAACACCAACACTAGAAATGTTCACAGACTCTACAGGTAGCATGTTCGTCTCGAGTCAGCCCATGTACTATGGTCTGGAGACGATAGTCAGCAATACTGTTATGTCATCAAGTCAATTTATGGCAGCAGGAGCTGTTCCTCAGGTGCTAGCAAGCAGTTACCAGACAACCACCCAGGTATTTCAAGCATCAAAATTAATGGAGCCACTAGTAGACGTCCAGGCTGTTCCTAATGTATCGAACGTGACAGGAGTTCAGACTGTTCAAAGCATTCCGGCAGTCTCCAATATTCGAGGTGGTTACGTTGTCGTAAATCCTAACACTCCAGAGACCATCCCACCTCCTCAGATCAGTGTACCTTCAAGCCTGTCATCGACTCATCCTCAATCACACGAGCAAGTGACACCCTTTATCCGACCAGCGGACACTCCTCATTGTCCATTGACTGCACCAGTCATCGAGCCGGTTCGACCTGTACCAGCCCCAGCCCCTGCTCCAGTTCCAGCCCCAACCCCAGCCCCAGCCCCAGCCCCAGAGATACGTCCTGTACAACAGCCTCCATTCATCGCTCAAACATCAACAGTACCATCACAACCACGTCCAACAGTGAATACAATGCAACAGGCTCTATCAACAATACCTCGAGTCGCCGTTCGACCCAGTCCTATCTCTCACACTGTGACGCAATCGAATCATGGCCAATGGAAGATTCCAGAGCCCCTCTACGCCGCCGAGCAAACTATTACCAACACTTCACGACCCTACCTCGACTCTAAGCACGTGTCTGAAAATACAAGCATGATAAAATCCAGTATATCATCGAAAATATCGCCTCTCTCTAACCACTCTATCACGCAGAGGGATATTCACATGAATCGATTGAATCTTGATGTTAATAGTATTCACAGTGATATCTACAACACTGACACTACAATTACGAATAATGATAGTACAATCAATTCAGTCATCTCAAGTCATGCACTTAGAAGCAATCCTGTTACACCTCCTACACGGCCAATGAATAGGGTTTTGCCTATGCAAGCAACAATACCTAAACAGGAGATTATTAAACCAGTGGAGAAACCTGAAGTGATTGTTGCGGAGCCAACGAAACCCGTGCCTAAATCAGCCGAGGAAACGGTGACATTGGAGATTGTTAAACTGGGTGATTGTGATGCTGTCGAGAAACTCTTTCCTCTTGAAAAACCATCACTCATCAGTGACGATCTCTTTGAGAAGCCACCCATTCAGGAGGATGTACAACAAAATGAAATTAGTGAAAGGAATTTGGTGGTGATTGAAGAAAAGGTGGTTGAAGAGACGCCGGAAAAATTGGTGACGCAATTACCCCAGAAAATACCGGAGCTAGTGAAGATTGATAAAGAAGAAGAGCAGATTGAAGTGAAATCAGGGAAAATTGAGGAGTCCAAGGAAAATTTTAAAGTGGAGATTGACGAGGATAAATTGAAAAATGCATCTTTGAAGATTGTTCTTCAGAAACAACTGCAGGACGGTTCATATAAAATTAGTCACAACATGAAGTCGACGTCACAGAGCAGGGCTACACCAAAGATCACATCAGTCGAGATACTTCCGTCCAAACAACCGCCACAGATAGCATCCCTCCAATTATTACCCATTAAAACATTTACATTGAAAACTAATAAGATTGAAGAGAAGCCCAAATTGGTGAGCAAAAATTCAAATTTGCCAGAGCCTAAGCTACCTCCAGTGGCGGTGAAAAAACCGAGATTCATTGCGAAGAATACAAAATCAAGTCCAATTGATTCACCAACAGTTAATAATAATACTCAGAAGAAGAATGGTCCGACTTTGATGTATGAGATTAAATCTCAGGATGGCTTCACTCACACAGCATCTTCGATGACTGAAGTTTGGGACACTGTTTTTCAGGCTGTTCAACTGGCCCGAAAGGCTCATAATCTTCCACCAATTACCCACAATCCTCTCACGGAACATCTCGGTCTCGATAACAATGCCACTGTTTACCTCGTTGAACAATTGCCTGGGGTCAACCGATGCACCAAGTACAAACCAAGATTTCATAATTTATCACCACCTGCAGTACTGAATGAAGATTTACTCGTTGAGTCTAACAGTGGTGCTGCACGAGCTGAGCCTTTCAAGGGGCGAAAAGTTCACGACATATTCAGCTGGCTGGCATCCACTCATAGACAGCAGCCAAAAATGATAGCCATTTCTGAGAATGAAATGAGAAAAGCTGCTAGCACAAATCTACCAATGGCTATGAGATTCCGAATATTGAAGGAAACGTCCAAAGAATCTGTGGGCGTTTATCATTCTCATATTCACGGAAGGGGATTGTTCAGCTTGAGAGATATTGAGGCTGGGGAAATGGTTATTGAATATGCTGGAGAGGTAATCATTTATATAATTGATTGAGCCAATAATTTTCATGTTTTATCGCCTTGTCTCATAGAATATTCAATTTATAGGTAATTAGAGCATCTCTGACTGACAAACGAGAGAAATATTATGACAGTAAACACATCGGCTGTTACATGTTCAAAATAGACGACCATGTAGTGGTTGATGCAACTATGAAAGGCAATGCCGCTAGATTTATAAATCACTCCTGCGAGGTACGTATGCTAACCGTTTCAATTATCGTATATTTTTCAAAAAAATTAGATTGAATGATTAGAATTAACCGCTAAAACAAATTCATTAACTTTTACAGCCAAATTGCTACTCGCGGGTGGTTGATATACTGGGTAAGAAACACATATTGATATTTGCACTGCGACGCATTGCGCAAGGAGAAGAATTAACTTACGACTACAAATTTCCGTTTGAAGATATTAAAATACCGTGCACTTGCGGATCCCGCAGGTGTCGCAAATATCTGAATTGAGGCTTTATAAATGGAACTTGCCGAGATTTAAAATATTGTATTATACATCTCTTATGATTTTTTTATCAGTTTTACTGATTTTTATTGGATTGAACAAACTCTTCGAGTAAGAGGCATAGTCTTTTTATTTTTCTTCAACAACTTTTTGTGTATATCTTTTAAAATCCGCTAATTGAATCCATATTCCCGAGTGAAGAATCTTTAAAATATTGATAAGTTCTTGTATAATATAGTGTAAGGTGCAGAAAAACTTTATTAAAAGTTAAGCGTAGAATTAATAGACGCTATAAGAATGAAATGTATTGAATAATGAGGGAGCGATAGAAGGTGGGAGGAGGGATTAATGGACTGTCCGCAGGAATAGCATTGATTAAGATATTTACACGTGAGATCGATACTTCAGCTGAAAAAGGGAGAAAGCAATATTCGCCTTTCTTTTATAATATATTTATATGATATGATATGTATACATGGATACATATACATATACATCGTTAAGTCTAATGGTCATTTTTTGATTGATGAAAAATTATACGGTGCATAGTGAAAGTGGGCATTTCAATCAATTATTTTCTTATTCTTCAATTGGAGTAGTAAATTGTTGGAACGTTATGCATTATTGTGCTTCCACTCCATTTGAATCATGTCTTTTTTGAGATACTTTTATCCTACATTTTTTATCATTATGATCTTTCAAATGCAAATTCATCTTTCTGTTAATCGTGCATATCAGTTTAAAATAGTAGTAATGACAGTTTGACGTCGCGAGCCATTGGCTTGTTGCCTTTTGACAAGCGACGCAGGCCTTATAATATTGGAGATACTGTTCCGTTATTTCCATGATTTTATTTCCCAGTAAACGACTCCGTTGCAGCATTACAGCTCGTTTTATCTATATGCAAATTTTTCAAATTATTCCAACAATTGATAAATTAATTCTTCGTAATACTGAGAAGATAACAATAAATCTAACACGCTTGAAACTTACTCTAGGTTTTATGCGATTTTGCCTTGAATTCGTAGTTCATCTGAAAGCTGAACCTCGATAGGAATAATAATACAGCTTATTTTAACTATTTTCTGAAATAATGAATATGATGCTAAAGTTCATTGGAATGAGAGAATATAAAGCTGTACTCAATTATATCGCTGTATTTTCCATAGAAAGAAAAATCGAAAAAAAAAAAAGTGACAACTGAGTATCGTGACAGAAGGGGGTGGATAAGTATATTGATAAAGGACGATCAATATCTGCCGAGGTAGACGTCCCTTAAATTTCTGGTGCTCCATTAGACACCGTCAAGTGCACTTTTCATGATTTAATAAGAAAAAAATGGCCTAGAATGAAAGAAGTGTGAAGTATTTCCTTATGAGAAAGAGTGGAATAAAAATGAGGCAAGAAGTATTAACAATTAATTGGAACAGAAAAAAAAAGAAAAAAATCAACAATATGTATTGTGGAAAAGAATCGTTAAACGAAGACTTTATTGCAAATTTATTTAATTAACGAAATAATATAAAGGGATAAATGATGGCAGGAACATTATTTCTAAGACGCACGTCTCAATCGACGATGGCAGAAAGGAAGTTAAATAAAAGAAAGGATACAATTTTTTAATCGGCCTGGTTGGGTACAAAATGAACGTGATGAATTGTCGTCAAAACGAAGAGGAAGAAATAGAAACTTGTTCTGGTCAAAAGAAATTGCCATTTTTAGGTATTTTCATTTCTTTCTCCAATTTTTCTCTTTTCTCATTTTAACTAAAATAATAATCCATAGTAAGTATAGAAAGAGCAAATGAATATTGTTAATACAATAATGATCAATTTCAAACTGTAAAAATCACGATTAATGATGAAGAAGGAAGAAAAATTGTGGGTAGTAATTTTATGTAAAAAGCAATGTTAGATATTTTATTGATATTTATTGAATATAAAATGGAGGAAAGTGAGGAAGAGAAAAAAAAAGTACCAACTGAATTTTAAGATGAAAGAATGAGCGCATGGGGAATTCTAAGTCTCATTATTATACATAGAAAATATATGTTCTTTTATCGTTTAAATTTGAATAATCAGAAAAATAAGAGTTCATATTTCCTATTTGAAGATTTCAAGTCAGAAACATGACAAGACTCATAGCAACAAATCCTCCAGCTTTATCATTCATTGATAGTATTTCACCTGCTGCATTCATCACTAATTATCTTGGAAATAAATAACGCGGGAGAAATAAACAAAAACAGAATTCTACACGCATCGGAAATTCACCGCGTCACTTGTGTACTTTGTGCTTAGCACGGCTTAATATCTTTTTTTTTCTTTGCTCTTCTCGTTTTAATGAACTTTTATAATAAAAAAGTAATACATAAGTGTGAGAAAAATGAATAAAAATTATAAAAATCCTTTTCGAAATGTGAAGAAAAATTATCCAACGTTTTGAATAGATTGTAAAATATTTGATAGAGAAAAAAAAAAGCATAAGCGTATTAACAAGAGATGAAAAAAAAATTTAAATCGTCTGTGATTATCGGTCATAAAAATCTTTAGCTCGAGATATATTTTTTAGAAAATTAACAAAATTTATTATATACCCCTATTATTGATACGATATTGGACCCATCGTGCGCTACGTATTCAAATTGAGGAGAAAAAAAAAACACGAGTTAATGACAAATTATGATTGAAATATTCAAATAAAAAATGATAAATTTTGTGAACAAGAGAGATACGAGTGAAAAATATACGAGTTACGAGATCAATGGCTGTTTGTATAATAATCAGTGCTTTGAATGAATAGTTCCGAGGAATTTATAAATTCATTTTTCAAAGGCCAATCATTTAAAAGCAATCGACTTCATTAATTTTTCTTTCTCCAAACCCATGCAAATTATCTACGCCAGCTGACGAAAATCATAATTGTTAAACAACAAGCAGAATAGTGTAATTAATCAATGAGAAAAATATGAGAATTTTGAGATGACAAAAACATTACAGTAGAAAACTATTGAATAATCGCATTGCATTAGCCTGAAAGATATTATGCGTTCCGCATTAGCAATACATTTAGCCGCTTTCATCACACCGAGACATGTTTACACGAAAAACTCACAACATTCTAATTAAATGTTTTGTTACAATAATAAAAAGCCACAAATGGAATATATATATATGAAAAAAAAAGCAACAACCTATTTTTTTCAACCCCCACTCAATCTCAATCATCAGTCTTCATTGATGATCACTCTTTATTTAGTGACTCATGAAATAATTTTTTTCCTCACTTCTAATAATAATACCATTTCATGTGCATCGTGTGCTATCTCGTGAAGTTAAAGTCGGACGTGGATTATCGCATCAGTCGCGAGAAAAAAGGAATAAGAAGAAATAAATGCGGAGGAAGAGAGGCATCCTTGCTATCACATTTGTGTTTGAAATATCAACACTTAATAATTAGTTCTAGCATAAGCACAGAGTCTTATTTCTCTTTTTCACTCAGCTTATTATGCCCATTCCCGCAGTAGTGCCAAGTGTTCTCATGTTGTAATTAGTTGTACTACCGCATTATGTTGCGAAAAAAAAAAAAGAAAATGCGAATCAAACAATAAAAACAAATACACATTGCAAATTGGCTCATTTGTGTGAGTGAAATATGATATTACAGTAATCAAACGTACGTCCTTTTCTCACCGCACTAGAAAAATGAATAATACTTTTGACTCATTGCTAAACTTCATCGTTTTAATTTCATTTTGTAACGGACAGTTAATTTTCTTGATACTTGTGGGAGTTAAATATTACTATTTTGTTACTATTTAATTGCATATCAAACGAAAAACTGATACTTATTCGTCGTGTATTGATCTTTTACTTCAGTGGGATAGTATCAGTGACTGTAAAAAGTCTTCCATTTTCCGATACTTCACGCAGATCTGTCTGTTTAATATCATTAATTCTGCATTCTCATTGGAGTTGGTCCCATTAACATTATCTAGAGAACATGAGTCAGTCTAGGATATAACTGCAGTTATTTCAATTATTCAACGAATCTTGAGTTTAATCAAACAGGAAGATCGTAATATTTAAAACTCCCGAATAATAACTCGAATAATAAATTACAAAACAAACGATAAAAAGTCATTCACTTTTTTGATTATCGATAATTTTAATAGCGTATGGAATGTAACCGAAATTTATTGATCATTGATATTTCAAGAAGATACACGATAAAAGATGTGATTGAAAATTATTTGTTGAATTATTCAAATTTTCAAATGACAAATGGCATTCAATTGTGAGTCCCAAAATAAATTTTTCAAAGAACTTTCCATCACCTAGGTAAATTAGATGAAGTGTTTAATTTTTAGGAGGTTCAAGAAAAAATGTCCAACTTATTGATGACGAAATAGATAAATACTGAGAAAATTTAACTAGTTTCGTAAACACAGGATCTGCAGGATTGACTGATGAAGCCATGAATTGAACCTGTACTCCTCCCCATCGTTGATTTTTTCGTTTTCCCCAAAAAGATTGACTGATGATGACTGACGTTACTGATGATTACACACAAACAACAAAGAGTCAACATTGGGTATGTATGGTGAATGTGCGGTGACTAGTGGAGGACCTGTACAACGGTGTTAATCGCGCTCAAGGACGTCGTATGTAATTGGGATAGGTCGGCTCGTAGTGGTGTAAATATCGTGAAATATGGTAGAACGTTGGAATATTTGATTACAGTGGTGGTAGTTGATAGCGGAGTAGAGTAGAAAGAGAAAGGTAGATGGTGTTGGAGAGGGAGAAAGAGGTTTGAGAGATTTGATAGTGGTGGGATAGGTGTATGCGTTGAAACGTTTTCATTTTCAGTAAATGGCGCCTGAGCCGGGAGACGCGCGTTTACTGCTCGCAACTGTCGATACATTTTAATAATCTCCCCCTGAAACCTTAGACTCATATGAGTCATTAATAATTACCCACATTCAATATCATTAAAAATTTTCTACCGCTTCATGTTTCATTGATGCTCCAAGACGTGTGCAGTGATGTGTCTCGTGCGGGGGAAAAAAATATTTGATGTGTGATTCACGTAAAGTTTTGCCAATTATTTAATTTCGTTTTACTCTATGATATCGGTGAAGTTTTAAAACTCGGTGAGTAGAAAAGTGATGAGCATCAAGAAGGAATAATCCTTGCGCTTGCAATACGATCACAGCGCCACAATTGAGTTTAGCGAATATATTTCAGGATAAATCCGGCAAAACGCCTGCGCTCTTTGTTTCCAAGTGCACACATATACGAGAATTTCAACGAACTGCTCAGTGCATATATGAGTTATAAGCGCCGCCACTCACAGTCAAAGGTAAAATTTCAGGGACGCACGTTCTGCTCAATATGCCACTGCATTTTTTCATCGGTTTCAGTCATCTACCAAATATCAAATCCACATTACATCTCACATCTCTTTTCTCTTTTCCCATTTGTATTTAGTGATTTATTTATTTAGTGATTTATTTAAAAAGACAAAACATTCGGGTTACATACACTGAAGCAGGGGGCATCGGTGAAAATGCAATTAGAGTCGAAACGCTTGGCTAATGAACGAAACGAAATGAATTCAAAGTGGTGTAGTAAGCGAACGTAAATAGCTAGTTTACACTCGTCACGGGCTTCATGTGCCCTGCAGTTTCTCAATGCTCACTCGTTTCAAATAATTTTATTTTCAAATGATTGTCCATTTCCGTTATTGAAACCATTTATCCAGATTATCTTCGTATTAAATTAAGTTAACTGTAGAATGAGAATTTACGTTAATTTCGTATTACTTTTGGTGAGCGTTAAATTTGTAAATGTCTGCTTCTGACATTTCTATTGAATTCAAACTTTCTCAATTCAGACTATTTTCGCCTGAAATTTTCGTACAACGTGCCTGCAGACAAATCGCCGATTTATTTTCAGTGTCTAGACTCGAATGAGGTATTTTCCAAGAGAGCTTTGACTGATATGCATGCAACACTGTAAAGATATCAAACAGTGTGATTAACGTCCCCACGCGATCACGTTGCGTGCCTACCAAGCGATGTTCATTCAATTATTCCTCCTATCCGTCTCTTCACTTCGATTTTTCTTGGTTTCCTCCTACTTTTCATTCTCCCTCTCATTTTTATTCTTCATTAATATATCAGCTTGATAAATTAAAAGGGATAAAATAATAATAAAATCGATTTTCCTGGTAAAAGGTGCGATTTCCACTTATTTTTTGCTCCATTTTAAAAAACACTAAAAAAACTTATCGTACTACTTACTACTATACGTCAACGCCAAATTGATCGAGATCATCATCCGCGTTTCTCATCTTTTTTATGAAAAACAAACGATCATTAATTCCTTAATCACTGCATTAAGTATTTCATAGGAGTCGTAAATGTGTATAAAAAAAT